CCTTCTTCTCCACAAATTAAAATTTTCAGACCATTTCTGTTAGTAACACGGGAGACGGTGACATATAACTGGCCATGACTAAAAACTGGTTTCTTCTAGAATAAGCCAACATGAGATAATGATTGACCTTGACTCTTGTTTATAGTCATTGCGTACGAAACCATAATGGGGAACTGCCTTCTTTGAAATTTGAATGGTACTCTAACATCCGAAGGAATTATTGTCATCCGAGGTATCAAAACTTTATCACCTGCATGATCGCCAGTAAGAATTTTACACTCGAGAACATGATTGGAGAGTTTAGTCACAACCAATCGTGTACCATTGCTGAGTCCCATTGAGTGATCCATGTTCCGCAACAACATAACTGGAGTTCCGACCTTCAAATTCAACTCATGGTTCGGTGTTCCAGAACACTTGATAGTATTCAAGAATTCAGGAGTATGAAGTTGTGCCACAAAGTCGTTATTGGAGTCGGATTTACACGTACTATCTGAACTTAAATACGTGTGTCCTTCAGTCAAATTCAACAACGACATGTATTCATTTATAGATTCTACGATCTCGAGTGTTGGCGCAAGTATAGCTCTGTCCTTCAAGTAACTTGGATCATCGGGTGCATTCTTGAACATCGGATACGTGCTTTCAACAATTTTTGCAATTGGATCATCAGATGGCTCTAGTAATAGATCATCTGGTATGTCTATCGGAGAACATCCATCATTTGTACCCCCCAATGTTCCATCTCCAATGCTCGCTATCCAATCAGCAAAAGCGGCTAGCTCGTCACGTTCATTTGAATCGCCAATGCTCTGAAGACGCATGTTCTTTGTAAGCCTAAGCACAGTACAGTCTCCCCAAATGCTAGAAGAGTTAATAGTAGCATTAACAATCTCCTGACGACTCCCCTTTGGAACTACCGGAAGGATTTGCCGAAAGTCTCCACCAAACACAATAGTCTTGCCTCCGAACGGTTTATGATGATTTGTCGGGTCGAGTGCTCCCATTACTGCCTTAAAAGATGTTTGAACAGCTTCAAAACAATGCTTATGCATCATTGGGGCCTCATCCCATATGATCAATGAAGAGCGAATAATCAACTCGGCAAGAGGGCTAGCCTGATTGATCTCACACGATGAATTTTCATGCACAGAAATAGGAATGCCAAATCGAGAATGTGCATTTCGTCCGCCCGGGAACAGGAGAGATGCTATTCCACTTGATGCAACACAAAGCACAATTCGACCGTGCGATCTTAGCCGAGAAGCTAAAGTCCTCCACAAGTATGTCTTTCCAGTTCCACCATAACCATACACAAAAAATACGTCGCCCCTATCGGAATGAACATATGTCATTATTTTGGAATAAACACCCCTCTGTTCATCGGTCATATGCATCAGCAATGCATCATGCTCAATAGCTAGAGCCTTACGGTCGTAGTTAAGTTCATCCAAAATCAGACGGTTCGTACTTGAATTAATAGTGCCCATATCTGGAAAAGGCATAGTAGAATAGTCCCGAAGACTTGTACCACGTTGTCTCAATAATGTCTCAATCTCTGCAAGAGCTAGATTTTTTATATCTGCATCACTCAGCTTCAAATCTGAAATAATGATAAACGACATATTAGATTTCAATTTTTACGTTGAATAAAAAAAGGTTAATAATAATTAAAAACAATATTACTTTTCTACTTGATAAAAGCATAATATAAAACCTATTAAATCTCATACCTTCATTATCGAAAAGACGACGTTGCTTGTATAGTACGTCGTCAGATAGAAATTGCCAACACCGCTCCCAAATTTCATCAGGTTTGCCTAAGGATCCAGAAACCAATAAAGATGCGAACATGCGCCTAAGAGAATCAGCAGATGCCCACTGACTTGCTTCGGTAATTCCATCAATGTACTCTCGATCATCACCCAACAAACCTCGTGCATAGCAAGCATCGCGATAGGACATGTGTTGAACATCTTCTACCTTTATATAATCCTCGTGGCAAGTAGCACCACGAACAACATTGACCAAACACCTCAAATAATAATTATCACCAACATTGGGAGGAACATAGCTCAAACGACCTATACAACCTGGCCTTATTTGAGGAGTCCACACTATTTCTGTTTTGTTCCAAACAAATTTTGTCGGTGCCTCAACATATGTCAGTTTCCTCACCTCGGGATACATCTTGTTCGCTTCCATCCATGCCAAAAATTGGCTCTCATTGACTGTGAGATTATTAAGAACTGCATCGATAGGATCATCATCCCCAAAAACAATATTATGTTCACCTTTCAAATGGAAACTCAGACGTTGCACGGAAGGTTTTTTGTACTGCAGTTCAAAACCCAATAGCCTCCACGCTGCCTCGCAAGAAGACACATATCGACAGTCATAGAACATATTGATCTCGTCAACAGGTTTTTCTATCTCTCCATACGCAGTCGTCTGATAGAATGATGCGGTGACACGACCATGACCTTTATTGATGTACTTGAAAAGGTACTTTATGGATCGCGATTGATTGCACCACTCAACATTAATATGCGCTCCATATTTCATCAACAATTTGCGATTGTGGGGCACGACATAACCGTTATGGACAACGACACCATTTTTTTCAATATGCCTTCCGTTGTCTCAACGTTTATATCGTGGATAACCTTCATTGTCGACAGTGGTGAAATCGACAAACTTTTTAGGAAACCGTTTACTACACTTGCCATCCACCATGCACGGAGATGATTTTCTAGCCAAACCACAAGGTCCGTGAATCATGTGCTCTTTTACTGCCTCATAATACAAAGGATCCGACGTCTCATCAGGTATCTCCGCAGATATTATTTTATCAATGTCTGACGGATCTGGGAACTTATTTTCTTTGACGAGAAATAGTAGTATATGAGCATGCGGCAATCCACGCTTCTGAAATTCAATGGTGTAGACAACTACAAAACAAAAAAGAAGATAAAATAATTAAAAGATATTTTAGAACTGGTGTTAGACACCACGATAGACATATATACAAAATTGTTTTTTTTCTTAAAATAATACCTGCTACAACTGTGCCGAAAATTTGCTTCTTACGAAAATCCCTGATCAATTCCTTTAATCTTGACTTGAAAACTCTGCAAATAATATCCGGGCGATCCTCAGGTCGCAATCTCTTTGGTTCCAAAAATCGAACAATCTCGGGCCATTTTGGATTGCACGTGAATGTTATAAACAAATCGGGATAACCTGCCCATCTGCAAATTGCCATTGCATCCTGATAGTTTTGAATCATGTTCCGAGGTCCCCCAGTGAATGAAGAAGGCAGGATAATTCTCTCTCTTCTAGAGCTTGGATCGACATCGCCATGAAGAACTGCATCCGCCAATCTATTGTAAATATCACATCGAATTCGACTCTGATTGAATCGTATGTACCGCAACCTCGATGATTCAACCATGGTATATGCATCAACGACAAATTGTTGAAACAATCTTCTAGATGAAAGAATAGTAGATGGTTCGTTTTTCCTATCATGGATCTGGTATGCAAAGTATTCCCGGACGCTCACTGTTTTGCGACCCTTTTCTTTTTCAACTTTCTGATTTGAAAACGGTATATCTTCTCTATAGCCATCCTCGCCATAGGGCAAAAGAAGAAGATACTGTAAAGCCAGATATGAAGCATTAAGCTCATTTATTCGCTGGAGTCGTCCGCTCTTGGTTTCAACCAATATATCTCGCTCACCCATAGCCTGATCGAAATCTCCAACGACCAATACAGCAACTTCAGAACTCGTCGGCAAGTTATAAAGTCTGGCATCATGAGATCTCCTTCCAATCAAACGAATCTTGACATTAGCTTCGCCATGTTCTTGAATTCTTTCTCTAGCCAAACGAAATGATTTCACAAGTTCGTTGTGCTCATCCAACATGGTCGTCAAACCAGAAATAATTTCACCGTTCAAATCGGTAGCACCGTCAGCATTTCTGAAAAATGAAAGGAATTTTGTAAGGCAATCCAATAATATAAAAAGAAAAATAATAAATACTCGAGTAAGGATATTATTTGAATGCTGACCTGACAACATTCATTCTGTTGGTTACTTTATTATCAGTGTCATATATATAGAGCTGAGTAAACTTAGGAGTTGACCCTTCAGAAGGAAGTAAACTACCCATGAGCTGGTAGTTTTGTCCGTGCAAACTGAAGACTGGTGGTCCCGATCCTTTGTTGATATTTGTATTGATCTTGCCTCCCAGCGAAGTAAAGCCGAACATGCTGTTGTAGGATCTAATATTTTCTTGAAAGTGTTTGCTAGTGCGGCTATCTGCATGTAGCAATTCACTCAAATATTGTGGCGAATTAGGTAGAACAGGAAGTTCAATGATACCATTCACACAACAACCACCATACTCGGTAACAGCTGACGTTCTCTCAGAAGACTTTCTCTCAGAATACCAAAACATTGCTCCGCAGTACACGCATTCGACGTTGGCGTCACCCATGTCCCAGTACTCTATGATTTTAATGATGAATAATATTATAATACTATATAATAAAATGAATTTATAAAATTTATCATAAAATCAAAATTAAAATGAAAACCAACCGGATTGTGTAGAAGTGCTTGCCAAAACTTTTCTAGGTCGACCACGTTTTTTTATTTGACTGGTAGATGGCACTTGATCCCGCGAATCAACACCTACAATAATACAAACATAATTAATTAAAAAATGACCACTAAATATAATTATATAATTCATAAGAAAAATCATAGTATAAAAAACATACCAATTTGTGAGGACGTGTTTCCTATTATTTTTTTGGGTCGTCCACGCTTTCTTTTAAGAGACGTAAGTGGTACTTGATCGTCAGTTGTGTGATCCAGTATCTCACTCGTTATAATTGGGTATGGAGTTGGAGTGACTGTTATTTTTTCAAGTTCTAAAGCACATAAACAATAAAAAATATTTACAATATAAAAAATTATATTGAAATCACATGCAATAAGTGATAAATTTATTATTTAAATCAGAACATACCAGTTTGTGTGGACGTACTTCCTAGAATCTTTTTTGGTCGTCCACGCTTTCTTTTAATAGACGTAAGTGGTACTTGATCGTCAACCGTGTGATCCAATATCTCACTCCATATATTTGGGTATGGAGTTGGAGTAAAAGTTATTTTTTCACGTTCTAAAAAACGTAAACAATTAAAAATGTATTTACTTAAACAATTTATATTGAAATCACATGCAATAAGTGATACAATTAGTATTTAATTAACAACATACCAATTTGTGTGGACGTATTTCCTATAATCTTTTTAGGCCGACCATGTTTTCTTTTCAGAGTTGTAGGTGGTGCTTGATCGGCAGCACGGTCATTCAACATCTCATAATGAGAATCAATACCTACAATAATTGAAACATAATAGTTAAAAAAGAGCAGTATTTCAAAAATTGGAAATCCATAGTTGGAATTTGTTAAAAAATACATGAAACTAAATATAAAATCCCAATGGATATTTTTTATTACCTTGTGGTTGCTTGAATATATTATCAGGACTAATAAGCAAACTGTCGTTCACATCGTCATTTGTCAGATCAATGAAGGGTGACAGTCCTAAATTTACCCGAGCAATTATGATCACAAATAAATAGATCACACATGGTAAGATATAGATAATAGATATTATTGTATAACTAAATACAATATTAATATAGCACAACATTTGTAAGGTAATTGGACAAAATATAAGTGTATCACCTGATCCAATAATTTTTGATGTCGTATTTATTGAAGTCAATGTAGGGTTTGTTTCAAATACTACATAAGAAAAAATTGTTAATAAAATATATGCTTGTAAATAAATAAAAAAACATTAATGATAACTTAATTTTCAATAATGTTTACCATTGGTGATGTCTGACAATGGTACACTTTGAGTAGTATGCAACATACTTCGATATTGATTTGAAACACTGCCCAAACGATTGTTGTTTTCTTGAGGAATAAATGATGCTCCACTGATAAGAGATGATCTCCAAGATCCTGTAGAAAATAATCTATTAATAATATAGATAATCTATTAACATAAAAAAAATTTAATAATTAATAATTCATAATAAAAGGTTTAAAGTATATTATTACAGAAATAAGATAAAATAGATACACAAAATCTTGTACAATTGAAAATTATTATTAGCACATGTATTGAGAATATATAAAATAAAATAAATATATATTTTCTAAGTGTGGCCTAAATATATAATAATTTGGAAACTTAATCAAATGGGCTAAATAATTACATTCATTAGGCTTAATAGATAAAAACCAATTTGATTCTATTATTATCGGACCGCATTTTTTGTAAAAAATCTGGCCCAAACTTTAATTATACAGCTGGGCCAAGCATTCATATTTTTCAGCCCAACTTCCATTATTTGTTAGGTTTTTTTTTTTTTTTTATTTCTTTTATATGGCTCGAATCGGACGGCCTTTATTCGCACAGAAAGAATCGAACGGCCGATATCAATTCTAAAAGTGGTATAAATGGTGTACTGAAACCGATAGGGTTTCATTTCTTCCTCATCCGAATTCTCCGCCGCTTGTATTTCTCTCTCGTTTTTGTTGTCTGAATCATCTTTTACCTTAACAAAAATGTTTCGATTTGTTCAGTATACTTGGACTCTTAGTTCACTGAGCCTTCTAATTCTGTATAGATCGATCTCTTCGATTTCCTTTTTCACAAATTTTTTTGTTGATTTTACAAAAAAAAAGTGAAAATTGAAATCATTCTCGATTCTTACTTCTGATCGGACTAACAATTACATGGAAATTGAAGATTCATTTGAGCGCATGTGAGAAAGGTAACGACGGTAACCCTTTGTTTGTTTTTTTTTTTAACAAAATTATTAATTAACTATTAATAAAACACATAGATTTATATGTTTTCCTGCCAATTTAACGTTATCTGCTAAATATTTATGTGAAAATCGATAATTGATTTATGACTGATCTTGTATTTTTGTTGATTTGAAGATTTATTTTCAGATCTATTGTTTTCGCTGGATAATTGTATGTTGACGGTAGATATATAATGTTTTTTTATGTATTTTTCTATGTTCGTTGTGTAGATTAAGAAAAAAATTATATTTGTGTTTGGTTTTTGTGATAGGATCTGAATATATTTATGTTCACAGGATATGTATACTTGTTAGAATTTTTTACATGTTTGTTCTGTAGTTAATTTGTGTATATTAAACAACACAATTTAAGTTTTTTACCCCTGTATTATATATGGTTTCACTTAAACTGGCTTGTGGTTCGAATTTGTGATACCTGTTGAAATTTTTGTTCTGTCTGTCTGACTGGAAAGCACATATTATTTTGTCGTCACATTTCACTATGAACTGAGTAGTTTTGATTAACACATGCATGAACTAATGTTTTGAAAAAGCTAATTGCATGAACGGTTGATATCTTTGAAATGTGTAAATATAATCACAAAGAGTTATCTTAAACTCGAATTTGTTTGTAATACATGTTCTAAGTTCTAACTGTAAGTTCAACCTTTAATTCTGACCATTTGTTTTTTTTATATGCATGAGAATCATCATATGTATCAAGTGTACATCAAGGACATTGGTTAAATTACAATATGCTGCAGATTACTCCGGAGAACATCAAATTAGCATTCTGTTATATGTAAGTTATTTACACTAACACATTAGATATAATAATTAATTTATTATAAGTTTATATACTCATATCATGTTTCTTCCAACATTTTGTAAACTATTTTTTATAGATGACATATAAGATAACCTACTGGAGGGATCCGAAGGTAGATCAATCAAGTGCAAAGCACAATGGCAGCAAAAGTGGTCAGAGACATCAAAAGGTAAAGATTAAGCCTAAATTTATGCTTACTTAAATAATATATAGGAAATACCTAGATTCTGATGGATATTATATTAACTAAAGTAACAATACAACACACATGTTTATGAATCTTAAACTTGACTTAAAAGACAGGTTGGATGTTGTTTTTTAAGGTGATTTAAACTAAATATTCAACTGTGAGTTCAATATACATTTTTCTGACCAAATGCCATTCATTTTATTGCATGAGAATCATCCATATGTATCAAGGAGATTGGTTCAACTACAAAAAACTACAAAATACTCGGGAGAACTTAAAATGATCTATGAGATACCAGTAAGTGTTTTACATTAAAACATTACTTATTAAAACATGTACAATACTAATTTCATATCATGATTTTATATCCTCATATAATGTAACACACAAGCATCTTATAAACTATTATTTATACATAACATAGAAGTTCAGATACTTTAGTATCAAAGAGTTGAACATTCAAGTTAAAAGTTACTCAAACTCTGAAAAATTTTTATTCAATTTCTGAACTCAACTGAACATGCAAGATAAGTTCACATACTGCACATAACTCATGCATACATCTATATATAAAACTGATTCCAATTCTGACATAAATTTTTCTTTTGGTGTGAGTATGATGATACAAAAAACGGACGGCGCCTATCTTATTTTGATGACAACAAAGGTAATACTTCTTAACATAACAACATTCCACACAATACAGGTAAAGTGGGAAAAATAAATATAGCTGCTATATCTAAGTTACCTTCTTCTGTTTGGTGTTTATATCGATTTTTGCATTCATATGGTTGTTTGTGTGTGAGATCCGCTTGTGTTCCACCTTTGTTATGCTTCATACTGCATCCCTCATATGGTTGTTTGTGTGTGAGATCCGCTTGTGTTCCAACTTTATTATCCTTCATATTGCATCCTTCATATGGTTCTTTTTGTGTGAGATCCGCGTTTTTCCCACATTTATTATACTTCATAATAGATAGTCGTCTTTTGAATCCTTGCAAAAAAAAAAATATGCGCAGTTATACATAATCATGTATTGAAAATCGGTTTTCCATATAGATTAAGTCGAACGACATACAAATTTGTAGTCTTTTGAATCGTGTGAAAAATATGAGATACAATAGTCGTACCTGTAGATTTTCTCTCGCATAAAATGACCGTGTCTAAGTCTAATTCTGAGATACTGATTTATAAGAGATTTTAGGTGTTTGACCATATCTTTAGAAGTATATCCGATTTAGTTCAGATTTTTTGGAAACTAAATATACATTAGAGAGAAATAATTCTGTACATTATAAAAAAAGAATCACTCTATGTAATTAGTTTACAACTTAAAGACGACATGAAATATCCCAACAAAAATAATGCAATCGATATTGGCAAAAGAATATTTAAAAATAAATCACGTTATTTTTCTGGATTGTACAATATATAGATAATAAATTGTTGTTACTAATACATATTAATTTGTTAGTAATATCTTTTAATTAGAGTAGGTATTATACTTGTTTAGTTATGTTTGTTAGTAATATCTTTTAATTAGAGTAGGTATTATACTTGATTAGTCAGTTATAATATTTACAATAGGAGTTCGATTACTTTACTTATATCTGATAACTCGG